TTGTCCCAGTCCATTCCTCCGACATATCCTCATCCCAGGTCCTCCAGGTGGACAGACAGACAGATACACACACACACACACACACACACCCTCGTCCCAGGCTCTCCAACCAAAAAGCGTACAAACAGCCCTACGGTGCGTCCAGCCTCTGAACACCTACCCGGTTCACTGAAGAAACACACCACCACTGCTCAAAGGGCAAAGAGCCTAAACTATCTTTCAAAACAGTCTCCACACGAAATATCTGCCAGCAGAGGCATTTTTAACATTTTAAACTATTTTAGAAAAGTTAAAAACATAAATGCTAAGAAAAGCAGAACTGTAACTGAAAAGCACTTCTGTTTAGTCTAGATGCTGAATAACCCTTCCTGAGCGACTGCTTTCCTTAGAGTGAACAGTCTGTCATAAGTCATGGCAAAAGAAGACCCAAACCAGACATCACAAAATATTTCCCAAGGTACCTTTGTTAAAAATTTTTAAAATGCTAAATTCATGACTGAATGTAAGTGACTTAAGTATGTGAATCGCTCTTAAATTAAAATGTTATTCTTTTTGTATTTCTGTCTTGCATATATGTATGTGCAGCATGTGCATGTCTGGCACCCGTGGAGGTCAAAGAGGGCATCAGAGCTTCCGGAAGGTGCTCTCCTAAGGTATTTTATCACAGCAACAGGAAAGGAGATAATAAACTGTGCATGTTCTGGAGCAGAGTGATGGTTCAGCTGCTACATCAGCTCCTACTTGGCCAGATGACTTCGCTTCAGTTCCCAGCACCCATAAAGGTACCTCCAGTTCCAATGGAGCTGAACCCTCTTCTGAACCGAGGCATACATGCAGTGCACGTGCATAAATGCAGGCACTCACAACATAAAATGAAAATAAATAAATCTTTAAAACAAGTGTTCATATTAAGAAATTTGAGAGATCAATGAACTAATAGAACACCTTAAGGTCTTAAAAACCAAGAACAAAAAGTCCAAAACTAAACTCAGAAGACAGAAAGAAATACACAATACAGACATTGAGTTGAAATTAATCAAACAATAATCAAAAAATATATAAAATATCAACATAACAGAGACAGTTCTTTGGAAAGATAAATAATATTGGTGAGCCACAGGCCATAATAATAATAATAATAATAAAACTTACATTTATAAAACTAGAGACAAAGAAATCACACTACTACTGATGTCCAGATGATTATGAGGGACCTAGACACATGATCTACCAAAATTAAACCAAGAGACTTAACAAGAATAATATTGAGCAGCTGGAGGGATGGCTCAGAGGTGAAGAGCACTAACTGCTCTTCCAGAGGACTGGGCTTCAATTGCCAGCACTTCCATGGTGACTAACATCTATCTATAACTAGTTACGGGGGATCTGATGTCTCGGCCTCTGTAGGCAAAGTAAACACAGTGCACAGACCTACATTCAGGCAAAACACCCACACACATCAAATAAAAATACATCTTAGAAACAATATTGAAGGTACAGTAAAGAAATTCTTGACGAGAAAACATCCAGGTCCAAACATCTTCTGTAGCTTTGAAGCCTGTCCTGGAACTCCCTCTGTAGAGCAGGTTAGTCTCAAACTCACAGAGACCCAGCTGCCTCCACCTCCAAGTACTGGGATTAAAGGCATGCACCACCATTGTCCGGCCACAGACACAGATCTACCTCTAAAGGTAGCAACATCAACATTCTTTAAAGTATGGCATAAAATAGAAAGGGAAGGAATGCCTTAAATCTCTCTGCTATAAAGCCAGTAGTACCATGATAATAAAACCAGGTAAAGATGCAACAGAAAAAAGAAGCAAAAAAAAAAAAAAAAAAAAAAAGGAAGAATTTCTTTTACGAGCATGGATGTAAACTTCGCAGTACTTGGAAGCATGCATGGGACTAGGGAGCTGGCTCAGGGGATAAAAGTGCTTGCTCTACAAACCTGAAGACCTGAGTCTGAACCCTGGAACCCAGATTTAAAAACCAAATGTAGGGGTCTATACCTGTAATACTAACACTTCTATGGGAAAATGGGAGGTGGAGACAAGAAAATGGACTGGAAACTCAGAAGCCAACTAGCTCAAAGTATGTCTGCCATGTAGTGGCAGAAACAAAAGAAACGCCGCCTCAACAAAGTGGAATTTGAGAACCAACACCCAAATTATCCTTTGAATTCCATACATACTCCATGTCATGTGTATGCCAATATAAATGTATACATGTATGGAGTTCTCTCACACACACACACACACACACACACACACACTCATACACTCTAAATACATAAAACTAAAAGTCCTATAAAGTGAAAGAAAGAAACAATCACCGGCATCAGGAGACAGTTTAAAGAATGGTAGGGAATCTATCTCAAAGAGGATCAATATCTAGAACATAAAAAACTGAACACCTAAGAAAATATAGAATACACAATAAAAGAGCAAATGAACATGCGCTTTTCAAATGAAGAAGTACAGTTGGCCAATAAATAACTGAAAAGCCAACCTCTTTAGGCTCATTAGGCAAAGATGAATCAAGGCTACAATTGAGATCCTGTCTCACCCCTGACAGAATGGCTATCAAGAACCAAACAAAAAGCAACAAATACCGAGGAAGATGTGGGGCGGAGAGAAAGAAACCCTTCTACATTGCCGTGGGAATGTGAACTAGTGTAGCCACTACGGAACACTGCAATCTCATGCACTGCTGGGGATGCAGAATGGAAAGTTTGAGCAGTCTCTAAAATGTCATCGGATAACTCCGCTCCCGTCTTAGGTGCATAACCCTGAAAACTAAAATGTGCTGCGAAGAACAGAGCCCTGCAGAGCTGCATTCGTAACAGTCAAGTAGAACCAAACAAAATGCCCATCAATTGCTGGATAAACAAAATGTGATACAAATTATTCAGCCACAGAAGAAATCAAATACTGAAAAATTTACATACAACAAATATTAACTTTGGAAACATTTTGACAAGAAAGGTTGTAACTTTCTTTTTTTCATTTACATCAAATTTTCAAAATCGGCAAATCAAAATGAATAGAAGTACAGTACTCAATCCGAGTACAGTGTTGGAGAAGGCTAACAAGGATGGAGAGGAAATAATATCCCGGGCTCCTTTTAAGGGTGACAATGTGTTCTGAAATTAATGATAGCTGCATAATTCTGAATATTCTAAAAGCAAATTACACAATCTAAAGTAGCAGATCTGAAAACTGCCATTTCTGTAGTCACGACAAAACCTCCAAAAGATACTCACAGCTACTTGGGCTGAATCCATGAATCTCAGACCAAAATAGTCACTCTCAATCAAGTCCAGGTGATACATAATTTGATCAAACAGCTCCTGGCCTTTGGCTTTTTTCTGAAACAAGAAGAAGATGATTAGCAAGCGGCTTAGGCAGGGTCACGGCCCTATCTCTGATCTTAGGGAGAAAAGGTACTTCTTCTATTCTTCTGCTTATTTCTTAATTTTTAATGCTTCTTTTCCTCCAAAGGGAAGATCCCCAAATATGACCTCACCAATTTCTTCTTTTTCTTTCCTTCCTCCCCCACCCCCTGAAACAGGTAGCCTTGGCTGTCCTGGAATTCACTCTGCAGACCACAAGAAATCAGAGATCTGCCTGTCTCTGCCTCTGGAGTGCTGGATTGGGGCATCACCATGCCCCAAACCAATTTCTTTTTTATGTTAATTGATCCCAATTTCATCAACTGTATTTTTTATTTAATTGTACTTTCCCACCTGGTATTCACTGGACCCTTTTCAAGCAACCTTTATCTCACATCGTTAACCTTCAAATATCTTTTAGAAAACTTATTAAGACTTTTTTTATTTCATTTGTGTTTGCCTAAGTATTCTCTGTATTTTTTTTTTTTTTTTACTGTTTTTGACTTCCAAGATACTTCTGTGTATTTGTGCAACGTACAATAAAACAAGAAAAAAGCAGCTGGAGAGATGGCTCAGCAGTTAAGAGCACTGCCTGCTCTTCCAAGTGTCCTGAGTTCAATTCCCAGCAACCACATGGTGGCTCACAACCACCTGTAATGAGGTCTGGTGCCCTCTTCTGGCCTGCAGGCATACATGCAAACAGAATATTGTATACATAATAAATATAAAAAAAACCCAAACAAACAAAACTAAAATAAAAAACCCAAGCCTGGTGGCACCTATTAAAAAAAACAAAAACAAAAACAAGAAAAAACAATCTAACCTTAAAGTCTATGACTATTCCAATTTAGTTCCAATGGGTGTGGGGAGAACCCTAGTGAAGAGAGCCCCAAGAGTCACAAAGCCACAGTCAATGACTTTACTGTCAACAAACAATTCCTAAGGACAGCAATTCAGGCCCACTTCTAGAAGAGTTACCTCTTTAACTGTAATCCACTACAGCTCAGTAGGGAAGGAACTCTATCTAGGTAAAGGGATTCTTGGAGTGGGAATTTTGGAGACAGAGATTATGGAAACTGATGATATGACTGCTCCAAGGTATGGCTATGTAGAATAGCTAAGGGAGAGTACAGCCAGAGAGAGAGTACAGAGCGGAGAGAGCAGTGGGCTAAACATGGCCAACAGACTGGACTTGGCCATGAGAGAGGTGGGGATGGGGAAGAGAAATAAAGACAGTGCAGGCAAAGAAGCCCAAAAAAGCCCACAGCTGAAATAGCAGGTTACAAGGGAATGAGAAGCTGGGGGAAGGGAAGCTTATGTGAGCTGGAGAAATTTAGGGTAAGGGGTGGGGTGAGAAGGGCCAGGGTGCCAGCATGGACTCTGTGACAGGTACTGGTGATACAGAGGGAGCCTGGAGGCCAGCATGCCTTTTGGTATGTTAATAGGAACCACAGATAGCCATTTGTTCCAAGTCTCTTTTGGAACTGACAGTATATTTTAGGCAGTGGAACTAGGGTTTTTACAGACACTGACACCCAATGTCAGAGTTACTGTTGCTCTGCCACTGGGGTGGAAACAAGACATGTATTCAATTATCTTCATTCCATTTACACTTCAGTCTGCAGCTAGGATAACCCCACATGCACTACGGGGGAGAGTGAGGGGGGAAAAGAGACAAGGGGAGAGGAAAGAGATAGAGGAGAGAGAAAAGGGGGCGGGGAGAGATGTGGGTATGAAACAGAACTCTTGCTAAGTTTTCCATTTATTTCCTAGGTTTCATGGGCTAGTCTTAAGGCAGGAAATTGGAAATGCCTTTCTTGTCCCCAAAACGCAAAAGTCTCATTAAAGAATTTGGGGTTGAGAATGACTTTAACTTCAGCTAGGTATAAATATAGTCTATATCAAAGATTCGTTTCAAATATTGTTTCTAATTTCTTTGATTTACTTAACAAATATTAATAGAGCCTTTATAATATGCTAGGTGCTGCTCTAGCCAACAACCAAAGAAAACAGAAGAAGGTACTTGTCTTCAAGAGGCTTATATTCTAACAAGAAAACAGTTGTAATGATATCAAAGGGCATAACAAGATGAAGAATAAATGGGAAACAGTACTCAAATAGGAAGATTCTTTTAAGCAAGGAAAATGTCAATAAAATATGAGTAAAGCAATTATCTATGTATGCAAAGTCCTTGACAGCGGGAGAAAGGGGTTTAATATCAGGAAGAAATCCAGCAATGATCAAGAGCAGAGGGAACAAGAGGAAGAACAATATTTAAGTGTCAGATTCTTAAATCATGAAAACCTAAAGTACAGAGGCAAATAAAAACACTAAGCTGGCCATCTGAATATAGTCTACAGACAGAGGCGGCGGGAAGGAAGGGAACTGCTGTTACTGGGCACAACAAAAAGAAAACAGAACTGATAACAAACTTGAGAAAGTTTTACCATCTATTTTCCAATTGACTGTGGGGTGGGTATGTGCATGTAGGTGCAGGTGTGTGTGGAGAAATTGGATCTCTCTGGTGCTGGAGTTACAGGCTGTTGTGAGCTCTCTGATGTTGGTGCTGAGAATTGAACTTGGGTCCTCTACAACAACGGTACACATTCTTAACCACTGAACCATCTCTCTCTGGCCCCACTGTTAACAAATTTAAAAAGTAACAATTATGATCATTTTGCTAAGTGCCATCATCAAAAATGGAACACAAAACATTTTCTAACTCCTGATCCCCTTCCTACCTTGCAATGCACCAAAGTGTCCAACTTCTATGACATTAATTCTAAGATATACTTCTATATTTAATTTCACATTCCATCAACATTCCATATTTGTTTCAAAACCAAATGAATATGGTCTTTAAAATGACATTCCACCTCCTTCTGTCCAAGCATCGTCCCAACTTTGTGAAACGCGGTACTTGTGTTCTAGGGGAGAGAAAGGGCTTCTGCAAGGTGGAAAGAGCAACAGTCTTTTTTCAAGGTAATGTATTCCACCTTCTTTAACAGAAAGTTGATCTAAGCCATCTAATAGTGAACACATGGCATCTTCAAATTCCTCAAATTAGCGATGCCCAATCCAAAAAAACAACCAAAATCTCCTCCTCCTCCTCTTCTTCTCTCTCTCTCTCTCTCTCTTTTTCTTTTTCCAGTTTCTCTATGTAACCACTGTGGCTGGCCTGGAACTTGCTCTACAGACCAGTCTTGCCTTGAATTCATGTAGATCTGCCTGCCTCTGCCTCCTGAGAGCTGGGATTAAAGGCGTGTACCACCACAGCCTGGTCTAAAAAGAATTTCTTTAAATAATCTGGCTGCTGAAATAGCATGGATATTCTAAAAACTTTCACTGAAAATCCAGTCTTCAAGAAAACAAACTGGCTCATAATAGTTATGTCAGAATAACTGTAATCATCTTTGCTAAGAACCCCAATTTAAATGTGACAAATGAGGTACAAGAAAGACTGCATCTTGTTAGTTCTGCCTGAAAGTACCAATAGGTTCAGGGGTTTTAGGTTTCAAATTCAGTCTAAAAGAAAACTTGAAGCTCTGTCAGCCTATGTAAAAGCAAAATAAAAATAGGAGGGAGGGCACGACAGTCTTTGGTGGCATGGGGGAAAGAAAAGACTGAAGACAAGCAAGAGTCAGAAGATCAAGTGCTACAACTACCCATGGGATGTAAAATTATTAGATAGAATTATCATCCTGTTCTTCAAAATCCCTCATTAGTCACGTTTACAGATTAAAGCACAGACTGGAACAAAGTGTCCTCCGAAGCATAGCTTGTTCACTCTCCCACTGTGTCTGTCAGAGCCGTCTGTACTTGGCCCGTGTGTCATCCTCCGAGCCACAGAGAGTACACGTTCCCCCACAATGTCTTGTTTGAATCTCATCAACTCTTGGTTCTGGCTACTCAGAAATCAATGCATTTATACTGGTTGTTGGTTTTTATCAACTTGATACAAACCCAGACATATCTGAGAAGAGAAAATGCCTCCTGTGGGCAAATCTGCAGGGTTTCTTTCCTTTTAGATTTCTTAATCACATTTTATATTTTTAAATTTTCATATACTATATTTTGATTATGTTTCCCCTCCCTCAACTCCTTCCCAGACCTTCCCCACTCAGTTTTGTTATCTATCTCAAACAACAACAAAAAACACTACAAAAAATGAAAGCAAAACAAACAAACAAAAAAAAACAGTGAGACAAAATATGCCAAAATGTAAAAACAAAAAAACAAAACAAAATCAAGAAAACAATGGAGTTTGCTTTGTGTTGGCCCACTATCCTTGACACAGGGCTTCCTCTGGAGTATAGTTAATATGTCCAATAATCACTGAAAAAAATGATGTTCTCTTTGTTAGCTGTCTGTAATTACAAATAGCTTCTTGGTTAGGGGTGGAGCTTCACGTCCACTTCCTCCTCTCAGTGCATCCCACAGCAGTCCTGCGGTGTCTTGAAGACCCTGTTAGGAGTTATCCACTACCTCTTTTTAGGGTTTCTCTGCTTGACCATTTTCTAGCTGCTGTGCTTTTCTTCCCTTCCAAATTTCGTAGTAACTTTTCATCTTCTCTTCATGTACTTGTTAAACAACTAATACGTTAAGAGCAGTTGCTACGTTCAAAGGACTACAGAAAATTCAGAACTGAACTACCACTGAGAATTCCTTTTAGTTCCTAAAACCGGCTACTAACACACGTCTTGCGCAGGGCTTTTCTCCACCCTGTGACAGGTGAGCATTCTCACGACTGTGCACACCATGAACACAACCCCGTCTGACAGTGTGCTCACTACTCATCCTTGCTTCTTCCCTCATCGGGCTCGTGTGCTAAACATTCCCCTTTCTGCAACCTCACAACCCCTTGTACCTACACTGCTTTAGTGGTTTCTAGTTTCTCCCTGTTCCAAATCAAGTCTATCATCATAATTACAACTAAACGTTATTTTAAATATATTCCCTGGCTACAAAAACACAACAACCCCAAACCAATATGCAGTAAAACAGATATATTCACAAAAAATGCTCTATTTTGTGATGGGTAGAAGTTAAAAAAACAAAAGCTTAACTGAAATAATAGACCTTTTGACTGTTATTCATCCATGATTGAAGGATGTGATTTCGGCTAGCTGTGATGGGACAGAGCTTTATGCTCAGCATTTGAGAGGCAGACCAGGCAATGTCTGTGAGAATGAGGGTAGGCTGTTCTACACATCGAGTTTCAGGCCAGCTAGTTCTATATAGTGAGACACGGTCTCAAAAACAACCCAAATAAGTAATTCAGTGGATTTTAGTGCACACAACAGGTATGTATAAGCATCAGAACCGACTTCAGGATATTCTCATTACTCCTAAAAGATATTCCATATCCTATAGCTATTAGTTTCCAACACTTCTCTGCCAATTCCCAAGCAACCACTAATCTGCCTTTTCATTTCTACAGTTCTCCCTGTTCTAGGCTCTCATAAAACAGAATCAAAATGTGTGGTTCTTGTGGCTGATGTCTTTCCCTAGCATAGCATTTTCAAGAGTCATCCAGGTTGTTACAGAATATCAATTTTATTTCTTTTATGGCTAGCGATCTGATGTTACCTATACATCCTCCTGATGTCCTTTTTGCAATTACAAACAATGCTGCTGTGAACATCTACACATTTTCACGCAAGCATGTCTTTAATTCTCCCGGGTATATACTGGAGAGTGGGAACACCAGGTTACGAGGAGCAGCGTTCTAGCATTTGAACAGCCGTGGGCCGTTTCCTAAAGCAGCTGCTTTACATCTCTCAGTCTCAATGGAGAAGATTCCGCTCTCTCCAGTTTCTCCAGTACGTGTTATTGTCTGCCATTTGAGCCCTCTTACTTGAGTGTAAAGTAGCTTTTTATTGTGGTTTTTGGTGCTCAGGTTTAAAGCCTGGCCCTCACGCATGTAAGCACACCCTTGGCCACTAAACCATAACCTACCCGACTCTGACTTCTCATGTATTTGTCTATCCTAACAAAACAACGTCTGCTTAGACACTTGGTAGTGGCACACACCTTTAACCCCAGCACCCAGGAGGCAGAGTCAGGCAGGTCTGTGAGTCTGAGACCAGCCTGGACTGCAGAGCTAGGGCTGCCCAGAGAAACCCTGTTTCGAAAAACAAAAACAAACAAAAGGTCTATTAAGTTTATATCTTTGACCTATCTTAATTTTTATATGTAGTATGAGAAAAGAGTTCAACTTTATTCTTTTACATGTAGATATCATCATTTGTTGGGGAAAATATTCTGTTGAATAGTCTTGGTACCCTTATCAAGATTCAGCTGACCACAAATGTAGGCAAAACACTCATACATATAAAAATAAACAAACCTGGGGCTGGAAAGGCAGCCCAGGGGCTAAGAGTGCTTGCTTCTCTTCAAGAGCACCACAAGGCCCTTTACAAATTCTTTTCTAGAAATTCTTAGCATCAGCCTACCCATCAACAGCCCTAAGACTTCATACTTCAAACATTAGGTAATAAATTGTTCCCAGGCTCTCGCATAGCAATCTCATGCTTTACACAAAGTATCTAATAAATGGACTCACAAGCTCTTCAAGATTCTTAACAACAACAAAAAAACCAACAGTAAAACTATCCTTACTAAGCATCTCATGCTGGAATAGCTCAGAAACCCTCAACAAGCCTTTCCAGGAAGAAAATCCAGATACCTTAAAGTGTATAGATTAAGAAGATGCAGTCTAACGTACATTAGGTAACAAACCCACACCATGCTGACCTGTAGACACCTCTAGAGAGCTGGGTATGGTGAGCACACCTGCAATCCAGGACTCAGAAGGCTGAGGCAGGAGGACCCCAAGTTTCATGAAGGCCTGGGATGCATGCTGAGACCTTGCCTCAAACAAACAAACAAACAAACAAACAAGCAAACCACTACCACCAATGAAAACTAAGAAAGCTTCAGCTTTAAGCTTCTAAATTTAAGGTCTTTCAGAATTTATTCAACTCTGTACCGCAGTCACACTGTGCCATCAGTTTACTAAACAGACTTTTCAAACTGAATTTTAGTAAAAAGTCTATAGGACGGCAGACATCAAGAAACATTCAATGAAGCTTATGTCAAAAATCACATAGTTTATAGTGTTTTGTGAAGTCTTTGAAACAGAACAAAGACATAAGAGATTTAGTACCTATAAATAGTTCTGAAACTCAAGCCTGATGGCACGTACCTGTCGCACCACACCTGGTGGCTGAGGCAGGATGATCACAAGTACAAGGCCAACCTGAGCTACACAGTGAGATCCTGTCTATAAACATACAAGCGTGTGTTCATGCACAGACATGCACAGAGTTAATTCACACCAAAAACTGCCCTATCGTTCAATGTTTCTCACAGCTGCCACTAATTTCAGATCCTCTTGCCTACAAGTCCGTGTACATGAGTAGCTCAGAGCATGATACATACTCAGCCTATCTTGCCTAACCCCCAGGAAGCACGGACCGCAGGGATCTCACACACAACTGGCAGCCAACAAAGCCCTACTTACCGGCAGGTCCACACTAACATCTGTACCATCCAGAAGGGACACCCTGCATGTGATGATGGACTTGGCATCTCCAGCTGCAGGAATGTGTGTGGCAGCACGCTGTGCCTCTCGGAGTCGCTCCCTCTCAGCATGTTTACGCATAGACCGGCGGCCAAGCGTTCTTCTCAGGAAGCTCAGCATTTCTGCCACTACAAAACCAGCAGTGAAATTGATAGTGAGGGAGACTTGTAGTCACCTTAATGGTGGTACTGAGAAAAGCCCTCTGAATGTTAATTTGAAAAAGTTGAAACACATCACCTTATACATAGTTCAAAGCGTGTTGCATGCAATACATTCAACTTTCATGTCAAAATAATTTTTAAAGCTAGACTTTTAAATAAAGTTAAAAAATATTAAGATAGAGCAATGCTTGCAACTTTTGAAACTTTCTGTCTTGTTTTTATAAGGAGCTGATCTAGCAGGAGAAAGCAATCATTCATGACGTTCAACAAATGTTTTGGGCCGGTAAGTGGCACCTAGGGTAGATAATAGCCCCACAGACATTATACAACAATGCCAGACACTGCTGAGGTAGACTCTTGGTGGCTTTTTTTAACTATACATTCAAAACACAAGTAATTATCTATTTCAGCAAAGTACAAATAAAGTTAAACTCCTGTTTTGTCAAATATTATGCTTAATGTTCTACTAAGACCATTAAACAAATAGTTAAACTAGCTACTAGTTATTTAAAACATTGCACATTATAACTAAAAACATTAAATACACCTATGGAAACACATACAATGCAAACCCCATACAGTTCCTCTGTAAACCTAGTATCTTTAGTTTACAACTAAGAGACTCTGAAAAAGTAAAAATTAACTATGTACAATTACTAATTCCAGGAAAAAAAATAAAGGAAAGGAAAAAGGGCCACAGCAAACAGCACCAAGTTGTCGGACACTCATTCTACCATAACTCTACAGTAACTACCACCAGAGGAGGAGCTGCCAGAGGAGAGGGTGAGTATGGAGAGAGCTCTTCTCAGCTCACCAAACAGCTTAGAGAGTGATGAAGCAGCTGCCTGGGATAGAGGTGCAGAATTCCAGGCAGAGCTACTTTTTTAAAGCCTTAAAGCCTCCAAATTAAAAGACGTGGCTACTGATCTGGTTTTTAAAAGGGTAACTTTAAAACCATACTACTACATTCAAATTTAAATACCCACAAACTAAAGATTACCAAAATACATTTTATGATAATGTTTTACATGTATTTTAGATTTTAACCCAAGGAAAGAACTAAAATTTGGGAGAGCTGGTCAGCTATCTCCACCCGCTCTGTGGGCTCTCCAAGTGGTTTTTAATAGGCCCCCAGTCTCCTTTCCCTGTGAACCTTAGACTTCTAAAGCTCTGTTTTAATGAACCCTTACTCCTTCCTTTAACCCAGCTCCTTTATACCCACAGAAAAACACCCTGATAGTTATGTTAGTCATTATAATCACACTTCTCCTGAACCTTTTATTATAATCAGATAACTATTCTTTTACTCTTTATTGCAAGCAACTTGAGAGCATAATCATTATTTTTCTTTTGATATTTATATACCTTAATTTTTTTTTTATCACAGAAGACGTTTAAAAGAAAAAGATTCCGAATGCATTATAAATGCATCTCCTAAGAAACGATAAACTATTTTTCTAACGCTCACCTCTGGCACTGACAAACAACTGCTCCTGCAGTCTATCGAGTTAAAGGAAAATACCTTTCTTTTCCGTTGCTGTTACACTGAACAATAAACCCAATACTGTGAGGAATAGCAAGTTCTTTTCATAGAAATGTGACAGCATGAAATAATATACATTTCAAGAAAAAATGAGAAAGTTCTAGGAAGAAATAGAATAATAAAGGACATTTAAGCAATTTCTGAAAAAGGGTATTTTGAAGGATTACTGTATAGTTTATCCGTGATTACAAATCATCTCTATAGAGATACAGCTTGGTGATCGAGTGCTTACCTTCCATATACGAGGCCCTAGGTTAGAAGTCCAGAAAGCAAAAACAAACAAATTAACTAGATAAACAACCCAATAGAAGAAAATGGGTAACATAAAAAAAGAACATCCCAAATGAGAATAATAAGGAAGACTCATAAATAATCCTAGCACTTGGACGGCTAACACAGAAGAGCTCTGAGCTCTAGGTTAACACGGCCTATGCACATGCCAATTTCAGGCTAGCTTGAGCTACAGATGAAGTCCTGTACTAAAAAACCAAAAACTGAAGAAAAAAAAGGCAGCTTGTAAGATGGCTCAGTTAGTAAAGGTCCTGGACACAAAGCCTGATATCTGAATTTGATCCCCAGAACCCACGTAAGTTGGAAGGAGAGATCCAAATCTGCAACTGGCATGAAGTGGGCCCACACCGCCCCCATCACTACATATTAAGAGTCCAGTAGCAGCCAAGAAGACCGAGAATAAGCAATCAGATAGAAGTCAGGTATGGTGGCATACCCTGTAATCCCAGTACTGGGCAGGTGAAGGCAGAAGGGGTAAGATTATCCCTGGCCAATAGCAAGGTCTAGGCCAACCTAGGCAGCATGGACTCTGTCTCAAATAAAAAATAAACAAGTAAAAACCCCACATTGGACAGAGAGCTGATCTCCAAAATATACAAAGAACTCAAGAAATTGGTCACCAAAAGGACAAATAATCCAATAAAAAAAAAATGGGGTATAGACCTAAACAGAGAACTTTCAACAGAGAAATCTCAAATGGCTGAAAGACACTTAAGGAAATGCTCAACACCCTTAGCCACCAGAGAAATGCAAGTTACAACTCTGAGATTCCATCTTACGCCTGTAAGAAGGGCCAAGATCAAAAACACTGATGACAATTTATGCTGGAGAGGTTGTGGGGAAAAGGGAACACTTCTGCATTGCTGGTGGGAATGAAAGCTGGTACAGCCCCTTTGGATGTCAGTGTGGCCATTTCTCAGAAAATTAGGAAACTACCTTCCTGAAGACCCAGTAATACCCAAAAGATGCTCAATCATACCACAAGGAAATGTGCTCAACTATGTTCATAGCAGCTTTGTTTGTCATAGCCAGAACCTGGAAACAACCTAAATGCCCCTTGAATGAAGAATGGATAAAGAAATTGTGGTATATCTACACAATGGAGTACTACACAGTAGAAAAAAAATAACATCTTGAAATTTGTGGGCAAATGGATGGATTTAGAAAACATTATATTGAGTGAGGTAACCCAGACTCAGAAAGACAAATATCCTATGTATTCACTCATAGGTGACTTTTAGACACAAAGCAAAAAAACAAAACAAAAAACAAAAAAAACCCAAAAAACAAAAACCAGCCTACAATTCACAATCTCAGAGAACCTAGACAACAATGAGGAATCTAAGAGAGACTCACATAGATCAAATCTACATGGGAAGTAGAAAAAGACAAGATCTCCTGAGAAAATTGGGATCATGGGGATCATGGGAGAGGATTGAAGGGAAGGGAAGAGGGAGAGAGAGGAGTGAAGAAAAATACATAGATCAATAAAAACAATTTTAAAAAAAAGTAGAAGTGGGTCGCACCTGACATGTCCAGCACTGCACAAGCAAAGTCCAGAAAAAGACGCCTGTCCCTGTACACCTAGTGCTGAATGGTGGAAGAGTTCCTATGGCTTGTCTCTGACATACTCACATGTATGGACTAACACACATCAGTGTAGGCGAGGTCCCTGCGGGATGTCCATGCAGCAGGGAAGAGGAGGCAGAATGCTTTTATACATCTTCACACACTACCCTATTTGAACAAGTTTTTAAATTGCATAGGCTATATGCAGCAATTCTATTTCTAAGTCACAGGAACAAAATTACTCTTAGCCTAACTGACTTAAGAAATTCATACATTTATCATAAGGCAAAGAGTTCAGTGAGTGATGGTATAAACTGGTCTACATAGACTTTCAGGCCAGTCAAGGTGACATAGTGATACATTCTCTTAAACAAACCAAACCTGTGTTTGCTGTGGGACAATGGCCTTGTATTGTTTTAATAAAACGCTGATTGGCCAGTAGCCAGGCAGGAAGTATAGGCAGGGCGACCAGGTAGGAAGTAGAGGTGGAAAGACAAGAACAGGAGAATTCTGGGAAGAGGAAAGACTCAGTCTGCAGTCGTCACCCAAACACAGAGGAATCAATAGGAGACTGCCTCACTGATAAAAGCTACCAAGCCACATGGCTGACAGACAAGAATTATGGATTAATGTAGGATGTAAGAGTTAATAAGAAGTCTGAGCTAACAGGCCAACACATTTATGATTAATGTAGACCTCTTTGTGTTCTTTGGGATTGAATAGCTGTGGGACAGGGCATGACAGAAACCTCTGTCAACATGTCTTAGACTAAATTTATAAGTGAAAAAATCAAATTAAGTACAAACTGAAAACAGTATTATAATATTTTGAGATATAATCCACGTACATCCTCACACACATACATAGAAACTACAAAATGCAGATGATTTAAGGAAGGTTCTCTCTGTAGAGAGTTAATCCAGAGGTCATAAGAATATATGGGATGTGTGACTTAAGTTTCTAAATCTTAAAAAAAAAATATTGAGAGTTAAGAAAAAAAGTACTCCCCCCCATTTCTGTTCCCTCATCCCACCTGCCCTCCCCAGGTTTTCGATGCTTCAGCTGATGGAGGGGTGGATTATCAACCACCACAAATCGGATTCCTTTTTAAATCTTTAACAGCTCTGGCTCCTCCTTCTGGACCTAGGCGCCCTAACTGGCTGTTTGCTGCAGCTGCTCTAGTGCATATTTCTAATTCCAGAACTTTCTTCATTAGTGGTTCCATCTTTTTGGGATAACCTTTGTCCACTCATCTCCCATTCTTTTCCCTCTTTAGATAATTAACTCTGTATTTACACCCAGAAAAGCACCCTCTGATCCTGAGGCTGGATTCGATGGCCCTGTTAGTACATGGACTTTTCTAAAAAACATGGAAAGAAACTGTAATTAAATACTTAATTGACTTTTGTTACTGGCTAGTCTCCCTCCCTGCACAAGGGCAGGGACCTCGGCTGACTTGTTTATTGTAAGGGATGATCAGACTGTTTGCCATGATATACACGTTAGACAATAAATAAACTAATGTGATAGGGTAAAAGATACATTAGAACATGGCACTACTTGA